AGTACTGGGGTTGAACCCAGGGATGCTCTACCACTGAGCTACATTCTCAGCCTGTTTAATTTTGAGACAGGGTGTCACTAAGTTGGCCAGGCTGGCCTTGAACTTGTGATCCTCCTGTCTCAGCCTCTCAAATCTCTGGGATTACAAGTGTGTCCCATTGCACCTGGCCTTAGTAACAAAAGATCTAAACTATCTATACATTGAAAAGTACAAAACACTATTGGGAGACTTAAATAAGACATAAATACTCACACCATGTTCATGGATTACAAGATTCATGATTCAGATGACAATTCTCCCCAAAATGACCTAGAGAGTCAATGTGATCCCAATCAAAATACCAGCAGACTTTTTTATGGAAGCTGACAAGGTAATTCTAAAATGTATGTGAAAACTAAAAAGACCTTACAATAGCTAAAACAATGTTAGAACAGAAAAACAAAGCTGGAGAATTTAAAAGTACCTAATTTTAAACTGGGCAAGGTGGCATTTCCCTGTAGTCAGGGATTCAGGAGGATGTAGGAAGATGATCACAAGTTCAAGGCCAGTCTCCACAAGTTAGTGAGACCCTGTCTCAAATTTTTAAAAAAGGAGGGAGGGGGCTGGGGATGTGGTTCAGTGGTTGAGTGTCCCTGGATTCAATTCTCAGTACCTAAAAATAAAAACTACCTAATTTTGGAGATGGAGCATAAGTCAGCAAGTGTCAGCGCTTATACCTAGCATGTGCAGGGCCCTGGGTTAAAATCCCAACAGCAAAACAAACAGAAAGCGTCCTAACACTTTCTAGAAAGCCACAGTCATCAGGATAGCCTGGTGTTGGCCCAAGATAGATCCCACCCATCAGAGAACCAGGCTTGAGTCTAAAAATAGACCTGCACTATGTAGTTGGTCCCAACAAAGATACAGGGTGGTGCAGTGGAGAAAGAGGAGCCCGTGAAGTAGACTGACCAAAGGCAGGCAGACGGGAACAGAGGGGAATGGCTTCCTTGATGCACCCTTGGTGTTGGTGGAGAGAGATGAGGGGTGTGTGTGTGTGTGTGTGTGATGGTGGAGAGAGATGGTGTGTGTGTGAGTGTTGGTGGAGAGAGTTGCGGTGTGTTTATGTGTGTGTGTTGGTGGAGAGAGATGGTGTGTGTGTGTGTGTATGTGTGTGTTGGAGAGAGTTGGTGTGTGTGTGTATGTGTGTGTGTGTGTTGGAGAGAGTTGGTGTGTGTGTGTATGTGTGTGTGTGTGTTGGAGAGAGTTGGTGTGTGTGTGTATGTGTGTGTGTTGGTGGAGAGAGATGGTGTATGTGGGAGTGTTGGTAGAGAGAGATGGTGTGTGTATGGGTGTTGGTGGAGAGATATGGTGTGTGTGTGTGTGTGTGTGTTGGTGGAGAGAGATGGTGTGGGGGGGTGCTGCGATCAAACCAAGGGCCCCCACATTACACACACACACACACACACACACACACACATACAGAGAGCATCTCTCCGCCCCCCCCACACACACACACCATGTGCTCTCCCACCCCAGCCCTTAGTGACAGCTTTGATTTTTTTGTGTGCAGAGGCATCACAGAAAAGAAATGGCACCCCCCCCCCCAAAGGACTGGTGTGATTCAGAGATTCTGTGCCATCTTAACAAGGGAGAGAAGTCCTGGAGAAGGGGTTTCAAGTTCTGGGGAGAGGGATGGGGAGAGGGGTGGGTAGGAGGTCTCTGCCCAGCGACTCCCCCATCCTGGTCCAGGAAGCTGGACAGGAAGGGGGCGGGGAGCGTTCCCTTTGCCTCTGCAGTTCTCAGCTGCCTTCTGCTCCAGACAACCTCCAGGGCAACTGGGCCCATTTGAACCTCGCCAGCCGGGCCACATGTCCAGCTTACAGCTAAGGAAGCTGTTTGACTGACTGAACATGTAGTGACTTTAAAGAACCTTTCTCAATTTGTTTGTGTGGTTTTGGTGGAAACAGTGGTATTGGGCTGTCTGAATCCTTTAGCAATAATGTTGAAATGCAATGATACAGTTTCAGAGATCCGCTAAACACAAGGAAGGTGTAGGATAAGGGGGACGAGACAGAGACGCGGGGTTCATCCTCTCTACTTCCATAAGCTTGAACCCCCTGAATGTCCACATTGATGCCTCAACTAGTTACTAGATCCTTTGTATGGGGGTATCCTGTTGAATGGGTTTACTAGATCACATTAATAGTGACTTCAAAGAACTCTGGTCAGAAACTAGAGAACAGAAGGTGATTTCCTGTGTTCAGGAAGGGTGGTAGTGTGGGTGGTGGACAGAACCCAGGTTGTGGAATAAGACAGATCCTGCCATTACCAGCTGTTTGCCCTTGGTTGAGTTGCTCGGCTTCTCTGAGCACAGAGAAGACCATCTACCTCTTCCATCTTTGGGAGAAACAAAGGAAATCGTGTGCTAGAATATCGTGCACAGGGCCTTCAACAAAATAAGACCCGCCTGAGAACTCAAGGGCAGGATGTGGTGCCAACAAGGATCTCACTGTGAGGTCCAGGACATGGATGCAGAGCGAGTCAGGAGCGGGTGCTGGGAAGGAAACGGCCGCCTGGAGTGGGCGCTGAGCAGAGCCCAGGCCGGGGAGTTCTGCAGGGCGCGTTCCCACGCCGGCACCTAGTTATGGGGCCAGCCGGACACGGCGCTGGCGTTGGCTGGGCAGCCCAGTGGGCCCTGAGCGGGGACCAGGAGCCCTGCCTCCGTGTTGGCCCACCACCCCCGGGCCACCTCCAGCCAGGCCAGTGCTGCCTGCAGTGGCCGCCCCGTTTAAGGGGTTAGCATGCCTGGACCTGGTCGGAGGGCAGTTCATCCACAGTCGCCTGCCCGGGAGGAGGGCTGCGTGGGGACAGCGCGGATGCACGGCACAGGAGGCCGGGGTCATAGCGCTGACCTTCAGGGGGCTTCTAATCCCCTCCGGCCCCTGCCCCCACCTTCAGGTCCAGGCCCTCCCCATAGACGGTCACTCCGGTGGCCAGTGGGCAGGGGCAACCCACCGGGGTCCCCAGCTGGGGACCCCAGAGAGCCGGTCACCGGTCTACAAGTGCCCCTGTCCCTCCTCCCGGCCTCTCCGGATGCCTGGAAACCAGACGAAACCAGACGAAGCGGCCGGTCTCTTCTTACTGACCGGGTTTGGCTGCTCGCTCCTACCGTGGACACTCGTTTTTATCGCCATTTGGAAACCTATCATAGTGGACCATCCTTGTGTGGACTTCTAGCTGTGTGTACTGTGGTTCCTACGTTGAGGTCCAGTGGTCATTTATCTGTAGTCCGCCACGTGTAGAGAACTCAGGTGCCCCAGCGCTGGCAACTGGAGGTGCTTGTCACTGTGATGCAGGGTTATGGGTCTCTTCCAGGACCCTCTTCCCAGCCAGTGGCTGCCGTGTGTGTGTCTGTGTGTGTGTGGGTGTGTGGAGGATTTGTAAGGAAACTACAAACGCCTTTCCTGGAATAAGGGAAACAGCAGAGGAACATTCCAGAAGGGAAGCCTAAGTCTAGGGAGACAAGATACAAGCAGGGGCTCTGGCAGAGATCGGCTCTTCCTCTTTCAACTGTGGGGACTTTGGATTTGCTGGTGGTGACCATTTTAGACAGGTAGAGAGATACAGCTCCTAACCTAAAAGATGGCTCTTCATTCTAGGAAGTGAGAGTTGGAGATATCGGAAGCCATTAAGGCTCAAACCCAGGGTCTTATTCTTGATTTCATATCATCCTTTTGGTTTCTTCTTCTTCTACTACTACTTCTTCTTCTCCCCTCCCCTCGCCCTCCTTTATCTCCTCCTTCTCCCCCCTCCTCCCCCTTCCTCCCCTCCTCTCCCCTCCTCCCCTCTCCTCTTTCTCCTCCCCTCCTCCTCCTCTCTCTCCTCCTCCTTTCCTCCTCCCCCTCCTACGCCCCCTCCTCCTCAACATCTTCCCCTCATTCCCCCTCCTCCTCTTTATCCTCCTCTTCCCCCTCCTCCCCCTCTCCTCCTCCTCCCCCTTCTCCTCCCCCTCTCCTCCTCCTCCCCCTTCTCCCC